CTACTTACTCTCAACTCTTCCTCTGAGTTAACCACTCCCAAGAACTAAGCCCAGCTTATTCTCTTGCAATTACCAAGCCACACAAGTGAGTCTTGGGATTAGAGTTAGGGTTAGGGTCAAGGATGATACCTTGACAACTTGTCTGCTTACTGAACCAACTCTGAGCCTACCAGCTCTATAGCCAAGCCCCCCAGCTTACATCTATTCAACTTCCAATCTTACAAGCGAGTGTTGGGGTGAGGGTTGTGTTCTAGTCAAGTATCAGAGGCAATACTTTGATATATTGCCACTATTTGACACCTAATACTGTTCTAAGTACTAGATAATTGCACTAAAGTGTCTAATTAATTGGGGACTGTACTACTTAGTATGAAGTGCTAATTCTGCTAATTAGCAACATTTATGGCTAAGTAGTTCTAATTAGTGCGGAGTGGTTTTCCTGATGCAACAATCTCGTAACCCCCTCGTTAGGTCTAATACCTGACGCAGCGGGGACAGACGAGTCTGGGTGAATACCGCCCGTGATATGTGATCTCATCCCTTCGTTACACTCTACATGTATCTCTCGGTACGGAGTATGAACAAGTAGAATTAAAAATGAAAAAAGGGTGGCAGTTCGACATATATGTCTTGGCGTCCACGTGTAATGAACCACTTGTCACCGAGCCAACTTTCACACATCCGGCGCCACTGAACGGTATATCTTCCCAGCAGCCTTCACTATCGAATATCTATCTAGTTCAAGTAACAATGCCAGCTCTCATGAGATCTTTTCTCTGGTGAGCTGATTCATAAATTTGTTTCATGCATAAATCTGATAGTGTACAGTCTCCGCCAGACACCATCATCTGGAAACAAGCTTCCGGAACACCCGATCGCACCCTCTCCCAGAGTCCCACCTGAAACCTTGGAGGAGATATTGGGTTACTTGCGGGATGATCAGGATGCCCTTACAACTTGTAGCCTTGTCTGCAGGTCCTGGCTGTCAATCATACGTCCCCACCTGTTCCACACCGTAAGAATTGGGAGTCGCAAGGCTGGTGATCGTGTCAAGGACGTTTGCAAAAACCATCCACACATCAAAAATTACATTCGCGAGCTTTGGCTGATACCATGTCGATCGCATCCACCTTGTTCCAGTGATCAATGGATCCAAATTCTACTGTTGATACCTCAGATTGAGGAGGTTTTTCTCTTCGGCCAATGGTTCTGGCTCACGGGAGAAGCACAGGACCTCCTGCGACGATTCACCCTCAGGTTGAAAACTCTTCGTCTGGATCGGGTACCATACATAGATCCAGACTTACGGATATTCCTATCTGCGTGCCCACACCTTTCGGTTCTTCAGGTTTCCAATTGTGAGGCCTTGCCAGAACATAGGAAGTCAGCAGTATGGCACCCCACTCGCATGACGAGGGCGTGGAGGAGGTTGAGGGGGACGTTCTACAGCAACTTACAATCAGAGATCTTTCATGATTCTATTTCCCTCCGGAACACTTTGGAACCAGCTAGCCTAGCTCAATTACAAACGGTCATATGGTCTCCAATCGGTTTAGAGAGCACCCTCGCATCTTATTTACTTGCAGGAGGATGCCGTCTCCGTGTGCTCACAATGGGGTACTCAATATCATCCGGGCAGTACACCACATCTACGCATACGATTCTTCAGATGGCCGGAGATGCACTAGAAGAGCTCACACTGCTCGTCTTCTATGACGACCGATCTTTGGAATCCGGGTCGCGTTGTAGCATCAAAGACAATACCCAGCTGGTAAAGCTGAGTATCGACACAGTGGCAGGCCTAAATGGGGTGGCAAGCACCGACCCCGACAGTCCATTTCATTCATCTTGGACTACCTTGTGCGAAGTACTGTCGCAGGTCGGCCCTGAGCACACCAAACTCCAGCATCTCTGTCTTGGATTCTGGCAATTCCTCATAGTCGCTGTGAACGTGGACTGGTCAGCCATCGACGAACATCTCGCTCGAATTACCAGAGATCATCCTAATCTCATCATTACCTTTTGCATTAAGCCCGTGTTTCGCACCATGCTCCGGAAAATATCATGGAAGAACACCATGTTCGGGATGCACTACTTCGTGACTGCTATGCTCCGCTCTCTACCTGCCTTATTTGCAACAACCAATCGAATCGCACTCCTGTGGATTTCGCAACTCGAGGACGCTAAACTTGTCAATCGTTTGCTCCCCGAGTATTTTCCTCCCGGGAAGATAAATTGGGACGTCCCCGCGCCATATGAATTCATATAGGGATGGTCACTGCGACACTGCTAGCGCTTTATCAGACTCAGGTGAACAATCTCAAACCCAACTCACAAAACAACTCATGTTCTGACTGACAATCCGTACTTCATGTATGTATCACTGTACACAGCTATGATGCCGCCTCTTGTTGCGCAGCGCAACAATCTCGAGTTCAGCATATACCACATATACATTCCGCAGCAAAAGCTATAGCCAGGATTGCATTGCGATTGGTGGATCTGAATATATTTGTTCAAGCTCTGCTTTATACACATTGGAATATGAATATGAACTACAGACTTAAACTGGAGGCTATCGGTACTTACTTAATACGCTCTCTCTCTCTCTCTCTCTTGACAGCACTTGAACGAAAACAAATAACAGCTATATGGCATGGTGGTGTAGGAATGATAAGGTTGGCTGAGAATTATAATTCCTCCCTAGCACGCTGTCTCATGTCTGTATTCCTGAAGAGCTCTTGGTCGGGCCAGCGACCCTTAGCTATCTCAATCGAGAAGGGGGCCAAATCTTCTGTCAGAGAAAAAAGTGATGGCGCAACATATTTGAACAGCGGGGTCAAAGAAAGGCATCGAGGAAGACATCCCCCCTCGGGCGCTGATTTCGGCGATCTTCTGGATATTGGGTAGAGGGGAAGAAATAACCCGGACGGAGGATGTGCACCTTCATGTGTTGCGCCCCATTGCACAAGTCAGCGAGATCCTTCTCCGTTTTCCCCTGCATTCGAAGGTGACGTTAGCCATACGGTGCCATCTATGCAGAGCATTTCAATCTGGCCGCACCTTGACGCGAGTGAACATGGGCATGTATGATGCCGCTGCAGGGTCGGCCAGCTCGCTGCTAATGAATACAATGAATACGAACCGAAACGGCTTCTGCGCTGATCTCCCTTCTCCGTCCCCAGCACTGGCGTCCTTTAGGGCTTGCGCGGCCGCGAGCGTGTACCCGTGCGTTATTTTGGTGTACTCCTGCTCGTTCATGCCACTTGACGTCTTTCCGAGGGCCCAGATGCACGCGTCATTCTCGGCGAGGCGCCGTGCGACTTCTTGTGGATAAGATAGGAAGTTGTTGTGGAGGATAGTAGTGGTCTTGTTTGCTGCATCGGGCGGGGGGGAAGCCCACGATGGAACAGGCCGACGAGTAAGGAGGGTGATATGGTTTATGACAGGGTCTGCAAGGGCTGCACGGTAAATGGCAAGACCAGCTACCGTGGAGACAGTAAGAATGAGCATGTCTCTGTGGTGAGCGTGACGTACAAGGACGCACCCACACCCGTAACCAAGCTTTATATTACCTGGGATAGCATATCCTCAAATGTAATCTCGGCCGCGCAAGCAAGATTGCCGAAATGTTACTGAGACCATCCGGTGCACGAACGGAGAGGGTCGTGCAGCCATGCTAGGTCTTATCATAGCAAACGTGGCCCACTGGACCAATGGGGCGCACTTGCACCAGCGGCCTCATACCGAAAACGCAGTTAGCCTACTGCGTATGTCACATAAGACTTGACATGCGATGGCATACTTACCTTACTTAGACGATCAGCCTGAAGCCAAGTTGCAAAAAAGACATGGACACGTCACCATTGCAACAAGTGATCCGGATATCGCAAATGAATGACAAATTGCGCAAAATATTGTTGCAAGTACTGCCACATCGACCAGTACGCCCAATGCCCATGCGAGTAACGCAATTTCGTAGCCATGCATCACCGTTATTGACTGATCTTTAATACCTGGCTCTCGAGATGACCGCACTAGAAATCCCGCAACCAAATGCTTTGGGTAAATCATCACTTACGGATCAAAGCTCAAATCTCGGCACTGACAGCTCTCGTCCATCATAAAAGTACATCCTAACCATTGTGAGCCTCACGAGACCTTCTGCAACAACAGCGAGAATCCAAATGCAATATCCTTCAGCAATGAATCTAGCTTCTGTGAAACTGCAGGTTCCACATGAGAGAAAGACGCACGGTCAAGTTCCCAAGGCCAAGTTGTGCTTGAAAATAGCATAGCAAAACTGCTACCAATATTGCTTCAGCTCGACGTGAGATAGTCGCGCAAGGCAGAGGTACATCGGGTGGCCAGACACATTACATCCTCACAATATCATGAGCAGGTTCTGTCCGAAGGGGGAGAGTAGACCACGTAGGAGCTGAAGGGAACGCAACCTATAGCTCCTTCACAAGCTTCAGCATGTCCCTATTTTGGAACACCTCCTGGTTCGCCCAGCGCCCACTCGCGAGCCCGACCGTGAACCGTCCCAGGTCCTCGACTGGCACAATGACCCCCGGTATGAGGAGTTTATACAGAGGAGTGAGGACGTAATAGTCGAGCCACTGAGCCGTGCTCGAGCGCTGATTCTTGCGGTCTTCGGGGTACTGAAGGGACGGGAAGAAGTAGCCTGGGCGGACGATATGTGCCTTCATGTGGTCTGCCGAGTTGCAGAGAGCAATCAAGTCTTTCTCCGCTCGTCCCTGCATCCGGGCAAACATATGTCAGCACTGGACACTCTCACGGCCCTATACATACAACGGCGCACCTTTACGCGAGAAAACAACGGCATGTACCATGGCGCATCCTGCTTGACGCCTTCCCCGCTAATGAACACAAACCGGAACGGGTTTCCATCTGTCCTCGTCCCGCCCACTCCGGCATCCTTTAGGGACTGCGCTGCCGCGAGCGTATAGCCATGCGTCATCTCGGTGTACTCCTCCTCGGTCACACCCTTCGATGACTTTCCAAGGGCCCAGATGCACGCGTCGTGCGCGGCGAGGCGCTGTGCGAGGTCAGGTGGGTAGGAGAGAAAGTCTTTATGCAGGATGACAGTCGTCTTGGACGCTGCGTCAGGCGGAAGGACGGCCCAAGACGGGATGGGACGACGCGTGAGCAAGGTAATGTGGTTCACGCTAGAATCGGCCAGGGCTGCGCGATAGATGGCAAGGCCGGCTATAATGAATGAGAAGGAAACAAACATAACGTATCTCGAGGTCAAAACGATATGTGCACGATAGCAGATGCACACGTACCCACGCCCGTGACGCCAGTGAGGAGGAGCTTCATATGGCGACGCTCTTGCGATTTTTACAGTCTAGGGGGATTAAACACGACTGACCAGACATGAAGGATGTTTGGCTTATATATGATCTCGAGCTGAAACTTGAACATTTGAACCTGGCCGGACGACACGCGGCAAGACGCGTCACCCTATGCCTGGCTTTTGGAGACGTCAAGCTGGACCAGAATTCTATCAAGTTCTGAGATGAACGATAGCGTAACAGGTCGTGGTCAACTGCTAGCCGCGGTTTTGGCCAAATCTCGGTCCTCCGCCAGTGGCCACAGCAAAAAATATGCTGGCCACCCGTGAATGCAATTTCAATGGCTTCACTACATGACTGAACTTGGGGTTCTCTCAATGAGATTGAGAGCTCGTTGTGAATTTCGGAGAAACGTACGTAGTCCACCAGAAGCCGCTCCGATTTGAACATATACAACGACCGCCGCCGGGAAGACGCGTCAGCATTCGGCAAAGCAACTGCAGCCAACACATTGCGTGGTGGAGGGAGCAAGCGGGATTGTCTGACCGTTCAATACTGCAGACATGGATCTGGAGCATCAGACAAGAGGCCACTGATTCCAGTGGACCTGAGTCTTGGGCACAGGTGGACCGTAGTGGCTCCAGACAACCAAAAATACCACGCGTTCGGCCAACATTCGGGCCAACAGGCCACCAACTATGAGCTGCCGTCTTCAGGAAATAAAAAGTCGATCACTTCATTCAGGAACAAAAGAGCCACAGGTTCACGAAATCGTGCATCTATTGCAATTTCAAACTAATGGGTGAGGATACGCGTACAAATGTTCAATATTCAAACTAGCGCTACAGTGGTGTACAGAATGGTACCCAGTACCAGTGTCCAAGAAAATCAAAGCGAAAGGCATAAAGATAATTCGTGGCAAGCATGGAGCACGCTCCGGGTCATGAATAGGGCAGTGTGGGGAACAGTGTGAACAGCGGATGGTGGCGTGCTGGCGATCCTCCTGCGTCCGTAGGAGCGGGCAGATCAGGGAGCGAGTCGTTTATTGTGGATGTGGAGCAAACGAACGACTGTGGCTCGCGGGAGGTTGTTGGCGGGCAGGCGGTATATCATGCCTAAACATGGAAATGGCCGACCGGCGGACGAGTGGTCGAGAGTCGACGACGGGTAACTAGTGCATTCTCTTCACGGACCAGACGATCACCACGACTGAGATGACGACTGCGGCGAAGAGGGCGAACGCAGCAAGGCAGTACTTGGCCCACTTGATCTCTGTGCGGCGCATGGACCTGAGCAGCTCCTGCCTCTCTGCCTCTGTCTTGGTCTCTTCCCAATCTTCCGGCGCGCGCAGGGGCGAAAGAAGGATGAGGGCGCCAGCGAGCCAGAACAGCGGGAACACTGGAGAAGGAGCTGTGAGCTACTGCACTTGCGAAGTCAGAGTAAAAGAGACGTACAGAAACCAAATTTGAACAGATACATGGCGAGGGTGGGGTGCTCCGCGAAGCGGGAGTAAGCGGGTGGTTCAGACGAACGAGAGTAGGGCGGCGGGACGTCATCGCAGTGATTGGGGAGGGACATTGCATCGTGTCGGCTGTCCAGAGTTCCGCGAGGGGAGCGGGTAGCACCGAAAAAATCGTCGATGGGATCGGTTCGAGAGAGAGAACGAGTGAGCGCCGTAGGAGGTGAAGAGAGGGAAGGCGCGGAGAACTCCTCATGAGCCCCGACGATAACCTGAGCCTCGACGTCGTACGCTGCAGATGCCTGGTGCCAGGTGCTGAAGATGGCGGGGATGGTGAAGGAAGAAGAGGCGACTGCTTGGGAAGACATTACTGGTCGAAGACTGACGGAGAGTGAGAGTGTTCAACGAGGGCTGGCGGGAGACGAATGTGCTGGACGAGGGCGGGCTCGAGCTCGGTAGGCGGCTTGGGGAGGACATGGCGGAGGGGCGGGCTATATATCTCGTCACACTGCAACGGGACCCTCAATCAAACGGGCGCCTGAGTGGATTGGACTGTCGACATGGAAACAGAAAACATACGCCCGCGGATACAAGCATGGACCCACACAAGCACACACACAAGCAGCGGTCATCCTACCGCAACAGCGTCCAAACAAATGCCACCCACTCCGACATGTGGCCGCCTGAGATGATCCATCTGCACACGCTCGATTGAACTTACTCCGGGATTTTCTGCACAGTATATTGTATCGCGTACACAAATGAGACCTTTTACCGCGATGAGATATCTCGATTAGTCTGTGAGTGCTCGATGGATCTTTATCTCATGACTGACCAAGTGGGACTTCAAAGCTTCAAGTCTGCAGGTGGCATGATTCTGATTGTCAGACATATTAGAATGAAAAGCAAACCTGAATCCCCTCCCGTCATGTGCTGCTCTGAATTGTTGTGGTGCTCAGTCATGTGCCACCAGTTGAGGTGAGGATATGACGTATGTTTTCACCTCGATGAGCCCGCAAAAACTGAATCTCACGCATCTTGGTCTGTATAGCACCTGGAGAGGTTCCAGTTTTGAAAACTACGCATTCAGCTCCGACTAATTCATCGGAAGCCGGCGGTACCGTTAGCGCTCTGACAAGTGAGTCAACAAGAACTTCGATCTGGTATCGATTCTGAACGATAACTTAAACGCTCGAACCGCGTATATAAAGCCAGGTACACACCTATAAAGCTCTTACACCTCCGAGCTGTCATAGAATCAATAGACCAGCGAACATCCTCACAGCACAATATGAAGCTTTCTCAATTCAAAGTTCTCCTTTTTGACGTGTATGGCACTCTGGTCGTACGTCTAATCCTCGAGTCCCTCGAGCGCTGAACACGCATCCATGAAATGCTTCCCTATAGGATTGGGAAACTGGTATCAGTGCAGCACTCCAGCCGATCCTGGCGGGAACCTCTTTGGAATCCAAGCCAGCCGCACTACGCGCATTTGAAGGCATCGAGGCAGACCTGCAAGTTCGCTATCCCGAAATGCGCTACAGCGAGCTGCTCGCGCGTGTACATGCCGAGATGGAGACGCGCTTGCGCGGGGGCGCAGAGCTTCCTGAGCCCGCTGGCGAGGGTGGGAGTACGCAGGCAACAGTCGAGACGAGCTCCACGACCGTCGGCAGCACCGACGTCGGCACCTCCGCTTCCGCCGCCGCCGCCGTGCAAGAGCAGCCGGACGCGCACACTGCGTTCGGGCAGAGCATAGCAGCCTGGCCTATCTTCCCGGACACGATCCCCGCGCTGGCGTACCTCAGCACACGCTACGCACTGACAGTCCTGTCGAACGTCGATCGCGCGTCGTTCGCGGCGACTCAGCGCGCGCTGGAGGGTCCGCCCAGCGCCCAGAGGTTCACGTTCCGCGCGGTGTACACTGCGGAGGACGCGGGCGCGTACAAGCCTGACCCGAAGGCGCGCGCGTATGCGCTGCGCCGGATTGAGGAGGAGCTTGGGGTACGGAGTGATGAGGTGCTTGTGGTGGCGAACAGTGTGTTCCATGACGTTGCGCCTTCGCGCAAGATAGGCCTGGCGACGGCGTGGATTCAGCGTGCCGGGTCTGTGGTTGGGCAGGATGAAATAGAGGGTGGAAAGGCGACTTTCAAGTTTTGGACGTTGGGAGAGATGGCTGATGCTGTTAAGAGGGAGGTAGGACAGGCGTGAACTTGGTGGATTTGGTCAACTTGCGGAGTCTTGTGCATAGTGTCTTCATCCCATACTTGTAAAATAAAGGTGGTTCAATGCTATATAGCAGAGCCGTTTGATATGTTTCAACTTCAAAGATCGGACATATGAAGTAATAGAACGACATCCCTGAGTGAATGGCATATCTCCCTTCCTCCCGTTTCCCTCGTTTAGTTTACCGACGCCCGCAAGAGAGAGTAAAAAAGCGAACTCGTGAATGACTATCATGGCCCACCTCGTATTTGAGTCATCGGCATGCCGAGATACGATCGACGTTGTAAGCTATCTGATTCTAACTGAATGCGCTCATGCAAAATCTTTGCCATTCAGTTTGCTGACTCGCGCTCTCGAGTCACATTCACTCAGACCATGCACACTTCTTAAAATTCAACACTGTACTACTTTCCCTCCGTTCTCATCGCTCCTAAAACTGCAAGATGGCGGACGAACGTCTGGCTCGAGTCGCTGCGCGGCTGCAAAACTTGCCATCCATCTCTCTTCCAACCGACTACCCACGCTTGTCGGGCAACAGGCTAGTCGAAGCCGCGCACTCTGCTGACCTCTCGGAGCAGACATGCCTGAGCCTGCTAAAGCTCGCCTTGCACAACGAAAACAGCGAGGAGGACGAAGGAACTGTCGAGATCAAAGGTCCATCTCCTTTCCACCTCCTCCTCGCCGCGTTCTCCGTCCTCCTCCACCGATACACCGGCGACACAGATCTCGTCATCGGCTCTTCATCTGCTTCTGCGCGCGACCCGCTCGTCCTCCGGATATCGGTGAACCCAGACGATGCCTTCTGGACAGTGGTGCGCAAGGTGCAGCAGGCTGAGCGCGACGCCGAGGCCGATGCGCTCCCGTTCGAGACCATCGTGCGCGCCCTCGGAAAAGACAAAATCGAGTCGGTCGAAGGCTCGCGTCCGCTATTCCGTGTGCGATTTTTCGACGAGACGGACAGTCCACAGGAGAACTTCCTGCGCTCGACCAGCCTGACGTCGGATCTGACCGTGTTCGTGTCGAGGCAGCATGAGAGTAGCCGCAGTTCCGTCGCGCCGCACATCACACTCCGCCTGCTTTACAACTCGCTGCTCTTCACGCCGGCGCGTATGACCTGCATCGTGGACCAGCTATCGATCCTCCTGCGCAAGGCTGCCGCACACCCAGCAGCCCTGGTCGGGTCCGTGCCGCTGCTGACTCCCGCACAGCGCGAGAAGCTTCCAAATCCTACGGCGGACCTCAACTGGTGTGACTGGAAGGGCGCGATACCGGATGTCTTCTCGAAGAATGCTCGCCGTTGGCCGGACCGTCCCTGCGTCATCCAGTGCCTTCCGCCTGCCAGTTTCGATCAGCTCCAGGAGAAGCGGACTTTCAGCTATCGCATGATCCTCCACGCGTCGAACATCCTCGCTCACCACCTCATCCAAGGAGGCTTGCAGCGCGAAGAGGTGGTCATGGTGTATGCATATAGGAGTGTCGAGCTCGTCGTCGCTGTAATGGCAGTACTCAAAGCCGGTGCTACGTTCTCCGTCATAGGTACTTATCCTTCCTCACGACGTGTCAGTTATTTTGCAACTCACTAGCTGAATGGTGGTAGATCCTGCGTATCCTCCATCGAGGCAGACGATATACCTCCAGGTAGCCCAGCCTCGGGCACTAGTCGTTTTGAAGGGCGCAGGTCGCATTAGTCCGCCGGTTAGAGACTTCATCTCATCCGAACTGCAAATCCGTGTCGAGGTGCCTGCGCTGGAGCTGTCCCCCTCTGGAGACGTCGTCGGTGGACCAGAGGCTGACGGCGAGGACGTGCTCAGAGCTCATATACATTTGGGCGACACGGATCCGGACGTCGTCCTCGGTCCTGACAGCGTTGGAACACTGTCCTTCACGAGCGGCAGCACTGGTATTCCGAAAGGTGTACGGGGTAGGCACTTCAGTCTAACGCATTTCTTTCCTTGGATGGGAGAGCGCTTCGGGCTTGGAGAAAACTCCAAGTTTACGATGCTGAGCGGAATTGCCCATGATCCAATTCAGCGCGACAGTAAGTTGTCCAACTCTCCCGTTGTCCTGAGATACCCATACCGTATGTTCATCCAGTGTTCACGCCTTTATTCTTCGGCGCCAAGCTGTATGTGCCGACTGCCGAGGATATCGGCACTCCAGGGCGGCTCGCAGAATGGATGGCTGAGAACGAGGTTACTGTGACCCATCTCACCCCCGCCATGGGGCAGCTACTGTCCGCTCAAGCTACACATCAAATTCCATCGCTGCGAAATGCCTTCTTTGTTGGAGATGTCCTAACCAAGCGCGACTGTTTGCGCCTCCAATCGCTCGCTGCGAATGTTAGGATTATCAACATGTACGGCACGACTGAGACGCAGCGCGCCGTGTCGTACTTTCTCCTCCCCAGTGTCTCTGAAGATGCAACATTCCTTGCGACGCAGAAGGAGATCATGCCTGCAGGGGAGGGTATGATTGATGTTCAGTTGCTTGTTGTGAACCGAAACGACAAGAATATTCCGTGTGCGGTCGGCGAGGTTGGCGAGATCTACGTTCGCTCAGGCGGGCTGGCAGAGGGGTACTCAGATCCAGCTGCCACTGGAGAGAAATTTGTCGCCAATTGGTTTGCCATCGACTCACCGCCTAGGCCAGATACCATCCGAGAACCTTCATCTGGTCAGCCTGGCCCAGAGGCACAGTTCTGGAAGGGCATACGCGACAGGATGTATCGCTCTGGTGACCTTGGTCGTTACCTGCCGAACGGCATTGTAGAGTGCACCGGCCGTGCGGATGATCAAGTGAAGATTCGTGGCTTCCGCATAGAGCTGGGCGAGATCGATTTATACCTCAGCCAGCATCCTCTTGTTAGAGAAAACGTGACTCTTGTCCGGCGAGATAAGGACGAGGAGAAGGTCCTTGTCAGCTACTTTGTACCTGTCAACGGACCCACTTTGAACGATTACGAGAGTGATATTCCGGAAAATGATGACGAAAAAGGTATTGTCAGCGGTATGAGAAGGTACAGAAGGTTGATCAAGGATATCCGGGAGTATCTCAAAAAGAAGCTCCCAAGCTATAGCGTCCCTACCCGTAAGCGCTGTGCCTTTCCTTATTATCGGTTCTAATTAGTGTATATTAGTTTTTGTTCCTCTTCAACGCATGCCACTCAATCCGAATGGTAAGATAGACAAGCCAGCACTTCCGTTCCCAGATACAGCCCAAGCCGCCCCCGCCGAACCGCATCGTGGACCCGCTGCTACGTCCTCCGAAGAGGCCATTCGCACCATTTGGTCTCGTATCCTCCCGAACCCCCCTTTCCCCCTCCCATTAGACGAAAGTTTCTTCGATCTCGGCGGCCACTCCATCTTGGCTACTCGACTTATTTTTGAGATCCGCAAGGCGTTTCTGATCGACGCCCCTCTTGGCCTTGTATTCGATAAGCCGACAATCACCTTGCTCGCTGCCGCCGTCGACAGGCTGCGAAATGCAGATCTCGGCTTTTCTGGGAAAGACGGCGATAAATCGCCCGTATCGTCGCCCGAGCCTACGTTGAAGGCGGTGGCTAAGAAGCTGACGTATGGCGAGGATTATGAGACCCTGTTGGCGCGACTCCGTCCATCATACGAGAGTGTTAGTGCAGATTACTCTAGTCGGCCGCTGACCGTCTTTTTGACTGGTGCGACCGGATTCTTGGGCGCATTTATTCTACGCGACCTGCTCTCGCGTTCTGATCGGGTCAAGAAAGCCATATGTCTCGTTAGGGCTCCCGATTCGAGTAAGGCGCTGGAACGCTTGCGTGAAGCGGCTAGCGGGCGCGGTGTCTGGAATGAGAGCTGGGTGGCGGAGTCAAGATTGGAGGTCGTGAAGGGTGATTTAGATCAGGAACGATTTGGATTAGAGCAAGACACTTGGGATCGCATCGCGGCTGAAGCGGATGCCGTTCTCCACAATGGTGCATTGGTACGTGGAACTGACTCTCAACATTCCTGGTTGTACCATGAACTCATACCCTGACGTCGATCAGGTTCACTGGGTATATCCATATGAAAAACTTCGGCCAGCGAACGTAATTGCTACACTTACAGCGACAGAGCTTGCTGCAACCAGCAAGCCGAAGCTTTTTGTGTTTGTCTCGTCAACCTCGGCCATCGATACCGAGTACTACGTCCAGTTGTCTGATTCATTAGCTCGGGATCAGAATAGCCTTGGCGGTGTACCGGAAAGTGACGACCTCGAGGGCGCGAGGACGTCCTTGGCGACTGGATATGGACAAACGAAATGGGTTTGTGAGAAATTGCTGTTCGAGGCTGGACGTCGTGGATTGAAAGGTCACATTCTGCGTCCTGGGTACGTTGTCGGTGATTCTCAGTCAGCTGGTAAGTGGCATTGCAGGTGATATTTTGATGTCAACTCTGCTGATGGCTTGACAAATCGATAGTGACCAACACGGACGACTTCATTTGGCGGATGGTCAAGGGCTGTATTCAGCTCGGCTTAGTTCCCGATATCAACAATACAGTCAACATGGTTCCAGTTGACCACGTCGCGCGTTGCACAGCGCTCGCGACCCTAGCGCCGTTGCCGTCACCACAGGATGCACTGGCCGTGCTACACGTTGCAGCTCATCCACGACCTACATATAATGACGTGCTCTCGTCGCTCTCGCGATACGGGTTTACGGTAAAGCGCTGCGAGTATCTCGTTTGGCGAAGCCGGCTCGAGCGACATGTTATGGAGGTCCAGGACAACGCGCTATTTCCGCTATTGCACTTTGTTCTTGACGATCTGCCTACGAGTACGAAGGCGCCAGAGTTGAGCGATGTTAATATGCGGGCGCTAGTGGCGCCACATATGCAAGAGACGAACAGTACCGTGGACGACCAGCTCATGGGTCGTTATCTTGCCTGGCTCGTTCGTGCGGAATTCTTGCCCTTCCCCACTGCACTGGATTCCGAGAAAAAGCTACCGCAGCTGGTAGATGGACCGGCGACGCGGGCGGTAGGACGCAGTGGCGTATAGAATGTATAGAGGGAAGGAAGAGTAAAGTGAAGTATTAGAACGTGTATAGTAATGTGCGTGCAATGCGCGGGGCCGGAAATCGAAATCAATATGGTGATGAGGCGCTTGTCGATCTCTTGGACCATGTCAAGACAGGGGCCAAGACAGCGCTAGCAAAAAACCGTCCTCGGTCTTAAGGCCACCCCATGTTGTTAACGACCCAGTCCTCACCCCTCCCTCGCCAACCGCGAATGCCACTCTCTTAATGCCATGTCGACCGTCCATACCTCCCCTAATGCGCCCGTGTACGTGTATATTCGCGTTGCGGCACTGTCTATCGCAACTTGGGAGTGAGCACGCTTCTTCTGCGACCTAGTACGGGCAGCTGTTGACCAGTTGGTGGGGCTAGCTATATCATGACGCTACCCGCCGAATATCGCTTTTACAAATGTCAGAAGTCGTGGAAACCCTGGAAGTGGAGCATAGGCTGCATCCTATTCGTGCTCATTCGGTCAGTGATGATCCGTTTCGTAGGCATCTTTTGATTGCGATCGGTCAACAGATACATCAGTATGGCCACCCTAATCATAAGTGCCACAAGTTACTTTGGCACGTTCTCTGCAGCAGAATGTTCCAGGTATTTCCTCGTCGGGCCTATATTCAAAGGTGTGTGTCGATGGACGATCCGCTGCTAGATTCGTCCTTATACGCACTGGGACAGTCTTGCAAATAATGATATCCCAAATTATTATGGGATTAAGGTGAGAACTCTATTTGATTGCTTTACTCTCGTAGCGCGATCGATCCATATCGAACTTGGAAGAGGCGTGGTAAACCCCTCCCCCCCACCATTGTCATGGTGTATTGATGCTGTTTATTCGTTGTTCATGGGACTGAAAATCCCGGGCTCGCGGAAGCAGGTCGTAGAACCGCGCATGCGACAGATTCTGTCATCTTTCAGGTTCTGTGTGACTCTTAGTATGAAGCAAATCCCTGGCGTGGTCTGGGCTGGCTCCCTTTGAGCATATCATTGATATAGCATTCTCCCATTTCATAGAACCGTTAATATCGCGCGACGAGAACCATGGATTATGTGGTTCTTGCCCACCATCTATATCATAGCTACCACGGTAAGTAGAGCAGTGGACTCCAAGAGACTTCCATCTCATTGTCTTGACACTCAGGGACAGTGGTTTACCAACCTCTACTCCAAACAACGTGAGTAGTCGTGCTGGTACCTCAGCGACTTGATTCTAACAGATGATGTTGTCAGCCGTTCAAAATGAGGTGAGATTTCGCGTATATTGGCTCCAGCAGTTGATTTATGGTCCTCAACTGCAGCTTGGGAAGTAAGCGGCTTTGAAGATAGTAGCCGAGATGACGCTGACCCGTGGTGATTACCACTGCACTAGTTGTTTGGACAGCAACCATACTCATCCCATAACAACGTGGCTCTTTTACGTTATTGCGATATGTTTCGATTTTACAACCCTCTGCGTATCAACATATTACCTGCTGCGGTATTATTCACCCTCTCTTCCTTCTAGTAGGTAAGTTGTTCCTTGCCGTTCCATTGTCAAAAGAATCTGATGAGTTGCTCGTAGAGTGACACGTTTTGTTAAAGTGTTGGTGTTTTATTATTGGAAATGTCAGAAGTTAACCTTTTTTTGTAGGATGATCTACGACGGTATCGGATATTTTGTAATACTAACAGGTAAAGTGCATCACTTTGATCGTGAAGGGCCGCTTTGTAATGAACATGCGATTAGGGACGAACGTCCTGAACCTTGTCATCTTTAATGCTGCGAACGGTCTGACGCGGGTGCGTCATTTTGTCTCAAAGAATACTCGCAAGCAGACTGATATCGAACCATGTTCTCACAGCCATCCGGGTTGGTGAAAGGTTTCTGGAGTGGGCCTGCTGACGCTAATACACGTCACCGAATAGCGCGAGCCTGGGGATAGCACTCACTTGGATTATGAGCCAGAGGATCCTCATTCATCTACGCGGTACGCGTCTTGGAACATTTGTATCATTTCTGCATCTAACGCTTTTCATCAAGATGCCGCCGCTGACCACCGTCGTTCGACGCGCATCATTACAGAACCGCTTCGCACCGCGCAGTCTGTGTCTTACGCGATGCGCTCTCAGTTCGACACCAAAGGCAGGATTAACGAGGAATTTGGCGTAATTGCCGACCGCCCTCTGCCTCGCTCACATTCGCTTACGGATCTCATTGATCTGAACAATGAGGAATTCCCGCTGCAAGTTCGGGTCGAGCGGAGCGTTGTGATGGATTATGATAGTATGCACCAACGCGAGTCAGACGACGCGCCCCGAGCGAAGTGGACTCAGGGGACACCACCGTCAAAGAATAACAAGGAAGACCTCGAGATAGGACCACCACCGTGATCACCTCATTGGATTCATATTTGGGATTGTACGATCTGTATGCCGGTATATAACCGCTAATATTATTATAATGTACTCGTATGTTTATACTTAGCCTGTAATGTTTGTGGTTTACTGAATCGGGCTGACGCGAAGAATTTTATTCCCATTGTGACATCTTGCCTGCGTATGTTATCCAATGTGTATATCCCGTCGTGCATGATACGTGAATTCCAGTGAGTGGTCTTGTCTACATTGGATTACAGTATGCGATGACAGAAATTACGAGCATAACGCGTGAGTATCGTACTACAATACAGAGCTCAGCAATGGCAGCGAGAACTCTCTAACTAGAATAGTCTATGAATGGGCTCTACAAAAGGGAGCCAACCCATAATTTTATAGCAACAGCCAAATCACTCAGCTATCCCAAAGCCTCGGTGGTTGTTTCCTCGTGGACGGTCACGGAAGGAACGTCCCTCCCTCTCGGGCCTCTCAGACTCCTGACCGAAATAAGACTGTCTTCGGCGAGTAGCTCCATCCTCTCTGTCTCTTTCGGTTGCCCTGAAGTTTGGCCTGTTGAAGCTTTTAGTTTTCGAGTTACCACGACCCATCCAGTGCGGCTCGTCCAGCTCAGACTTGCGCCGATATCCGCCAGAATGCTTCGTCCGGCCGTCATTAACACCAAGCTTCTGCAGGAGACTAGGGGAGATGGAGGGCGGCGTAGGCAGCCCTAACGCCTCGACAGACCAGTCCTTCATGCCTTGGAGGATAACGCTTCGCTGAATACGCATGTCACCCGATCTACCCATATAATATCCAAGGAGAGAGATCATCGTGTCCTGGATGGCGCCTTCATCTAGTTTTGGGAGCAACTCAGAAACACTGTCGGGGATCCGGTCAAAGACAGGAGAATAGGGCACCGCATACTTCGCGGAAGACGATTTTCCCTTGGATAACGACGACGGATCCTCATCGTACTTCTGTGCAAGATCGCTGACCTGGTTCTTCAATTCATTCGTTGTCATAGGCTTCAATGGAATGTCGGTGAGCTGCCATGTAACAAAGCCAACCTCCCATGGTAAAAGGACGAGGTCCGCGCGTCCACTCAAGTCACGACCGCGGCCTGTTCGTCCGACACGATGGACGTACTGATCAGGGCCTGAAGGAATACCGATCTGGACGATACGAGTAACGCCCGGGTAATCTACTCCACGTGCGGACACATCAGATGTGACGAGGATGGACGGCGAAGTGCTGGCACGGAAACGGTTCGATGTGAGGTCACGGCGGGGCTGCGAGAGTAGGGAGTGCATTTCGTAAACTTCTGTCGCTTTACCGGCGGGAAGACAAGTCCTCGCCAGCTGCCGCACGAGTGTTGCGAACAGTTGTGTCATTTTTGTTGTGGGCAAAAACACAATAGCCTTCGACTTGCCAGGGTTCAGCAGCTGGTCATGCGCGAGTAGTCCAAGAAGATGAGGTAGCTGCATGCCAGCACTTGGGAGTACCGTATGATATTGTGGCACATGAGCATGAGTAGGGGGGGCGTCGTCCGTTACACAATCAATGAAGAGGTGCTTCTTGTCGAGCGCCGCGCGAGCAACCTGTCGGATGTTTGTAGAAACCGTGGCGGACAATAAAAATGTCTGGCGTTTTGGACCTGAGGGCAAATGTTCAAGGATAGCGTCAATGTCGTCCCGGAAACCCATATCTAATAAAGTATCCGCTTCGTCCAGGACGAGCTACAGAACATGTTAGAGACGATACGATCTAGCACCATTAAGGCTTACTATATGAGTGTTCTCCATGCCCTTCTTGACATCCGGCTCATTTTCCAGCAGGTCCCTAAGGCGGCCAGGCGTCCCAACAACTATATCGCGCCTGCCGCGCATCCAATCCCTGAGCTGCTTGCCCTTGCTATTACCACCAACGAGCAACCTGACTTCCATGTCGTCGTGATGATGAGACAGTCGCAACGCCTCATTCGCGATTTGCGTTGCCAGCTCACGAGTAGGACTAATGATCAAGGCCCCAACATGTTCCCGTGCGAAGAGTCTCCGAGCGCGAATTTCGAGGTGTTTGTCGTTGACCAGACCAGCATCTTTCACTGCCTGTCTACCGTGCGCGGCTAAGACCTTTAACCGTGCTTCAATCACTGGGACCAGAAACGCAAGTGTCTTTCCCGTGCCCGTTTTTGCCCTGACGAGAAGATCTCTAGGTGTATTGGACTCGTCCTTCGGATCATACGGTTTGGTGAGGTCAGACATCAGCGGAAGAACGGCGGCCTGAACCGGCGACATGTTCTTCAGATGAAGTGGATGTCCAGTAATTGCTTTGAGAGTACCAGGAGAGACAACATCTTGCAGAGTCGAAAACTCAGGCTGATCGGCGTGTGCTTGCGGTTTCGAGGTTTTCTCAAAATCGACGTCTACTCTGCTTTCAATATCTTTGACCTCAGGAGACACCGCAGCAGAGGCCCATCGTCGGGCAACAACTTGACCTGCTGAAGTGCATTAGCCATAGCTACTGCTTCGAACGAGTTGCAAAACATACCAGGCCGCTTCGCCAACTGTTCGCATCTTGAAGCTTGCCGAAGGGCAAAGGTGGAAGTCCTAAGAGCCCTCGCCCATAGTGAAGCTGTCATAGTCCGAGCTGGTGAACAGCTCGCAGGCAGGATGAAGACGCAGTCCGTTGGCAAACGAGATTAAAAGGCAAATGTTCATCACATGATCACCCATTGCACAGCGTCTATACAGCCAGCCAAACCCTGGACAAACTCGGGCCAAACCCTAGCCAAACCCCAGCTCATCTTGCCCATAACGCTCTATCTCGGCCTCTAGTCATGTCATCCAAACGCAAGTGGGATCAAGCTGCTCCGGATGAAGGCGATACGCCGACGAAGGTTACCAAACTGGAGGATGGAAAGACCGCGTCTGAAGCCGCAGCTGCAGCTGCCGCCATAGCCGCCAAAATTGCTGCTCAGTTTGCTGGGTCAGGGGGTACTGGCGGAGGCACGCCATTGCAGAAGGATCCTCATGATGCAGACTTCACCCACGATATTGACATTAATGATGTAAGGAACCGGTACCTACTCACAAAAGGCTCGACGCAGACACAGGTGAGTGTCTTCGTGCCCACCCTCGACGCGTAACAACTTTAACCGCATTTTCCAGATTCATGAAGAGACTGGTGCGTCTGTGAGCACGAAGGGTACCTGGTATCCGGATCGATCGAAGGCAACAGAAAAAGATCCACCTCTTTATCTGCACATTGCTGCTACGACGCAAGAGATTTTGCAGATTGCTATTGACAAGGTAAACGAGCTGATTCAAATGGACATGGGTTCTCTAGTGGAGGACAAGAAAGACCGTATGAGGGAAAGGGTGAGTGCTAAGACATTTGACTTCGTACAGCTTTTCACTTGTACTCCAGCGCAAATGGCCAGAGGAAAAGATTCCGGTTGGACTTGAAACTATCCGCAACTTCAATGTTCGCGCTAAAGTAGTCGGACCTACGGTACTTGCCACTCGTGATGCAACGTCAGGGGACTGCTGACAAGCGCTACACACAGGGTATGTTTGTCAAATACATTCAACAAGAAACGGGGACTCGCGTTCAGATCAAGGGTATTGGATCTGGATTTGTCGATCAAGACACAGGTCATGAACACGACGAACCAATGTATATCCATGTAACGTGAGCCAATCTGCCCGGATATGTTTGACACTAGCCGACGGTTGTGTAGTGGACCTGACGAAGGTCAGGTTGCTCGTGCGAAGGTACTCACGGAAGATCTCCTTGAAGTCGTCCGGCAGGAGCATGCAAAAGTGAGAACCCTTTTGCAGCAACAGCAAATGGAACTACATCAAGCACAAATTCAGTACGCCACCTACAATGCTTATGCCGTATGTATACTCCACTCATTTATCCCTGTCCTGGCTGTTCCGGCCATTGACCTGTAACAGTCCAACCTGCTTGATCTTAATCTGGGCATGTATCATTCCTGTGTGGGTTGCTGATACTGTGATGTTCTAGGGCTACGCACCCCCACAGCCTGGTAATGCTCCTCCGCCACCTCCACCCGGTGATCAGCCACCACCTCCACCACCGGATGGCAGTGTAGAATCTGGACAGGGGGCCGCCGTACCAAATGCGAACGATCCCGAGGCGTATGCCGCCTATTGGTGAATCATTTCGTAGTCTTCGCTTTACAAGTCGCTCAAGTAAATTGTATCAGGGCTGCGTATGGCTACGACGTCAATTCTCCGGAGTTCAAAGCATGGCAGGAGCAGCAGCAACAACAATACGCGCAGTACTATGCGCAACAAGGCTACGGTAGCGCTGTATCTACAGATGCAAATCCGCCATCTGGTGCCGCGCCGCCGAGTGAACCTATTCCTCCGCCCCCTCCCGCGTGAGCGGTAATCTAGGCTCCTCTTGTTGTCCATTTCTGCCGTATCTATCTGCAAGAGGCTTGAAGAACGAGCTGTTATGCGTTGCTTACTACAACTTTGCTATTATTGCATTTGTACCTTCCGAACTGGCGGGTGTCATTCGATTGTTGTTCTGAGTTGTATGGTCAATTAGCTTGTAGTCACCCAATCATGATGCTCATGATGGCATACTAGTGGTGCTGCTGTATCGACCCGCATTGAATATGTCTGACTTGCGTCCAAAGATGCCGATGGCCGCCGACAGCGCAGCTAATCGTATCTTAATTAAGAGGAAGAGTCAACTTCGATTGGATCTCGAGCGAACCTGTCTCGGTCATGAGTACCATAGAATGTCCTGTATTCTGTAAAGACACTCCGTGAACGAAAAAAAAAAAAA